TTTTATTAGTTGTCATAGCAAGTGATTTTAAAAGTAGGATGGCTCACTTTTTATAACATGACTGAATTTGACTTGAATTCGGAGTTTATTCTTACTTTTGGAAACCTAATTGTTTTATAATTACTATTATTATTATTATTATTATTATTATTTCTGTTGTTTCTAGAAGTAGTCATTTTGATAATAGTCAATAGAAAAAAATATAACCACACACACATTGTTTGCCGACAGAATAATTACACATTATTAAATACAAAGCGCCCCGCACGAACCTCTATTTCAGACTCAGTAAAGTTTTTTTTTTCTTTGTGCTCGTGCTTGTGATTCAAGCACAGAATTTCGGATATTGGCGTGTGATCTTTTATATGGTAACGATATTAATTAGGGGGCGTTTACAAGGCGGAGATCTGACACCAGTCAGCTGCGCACAATTTCAAGATCATTTGTGCACACAATTTCAAGATCATTTGCGATTTATCACATCTGGAAGAGAAGCGTACGCACGTGTTTTTGTGCGCACGTTCGTTTTCTTTGAATCGCGCTTACGCACTTTTGAGAAATGATCTTCAAACAAATTTAGGATGGTTTATACGCAACATTTTATAAATGAGGCCCCTGAAGCTCATTATAGAAAGTTTTTCCGGACACTGGAGAAGTTAATGATTAAGGCACTTTATGATAGAAAAGGTCATCTCTTGTCTGGTATTTGCAATGGTGGGGACATTCTTTAGTTGGGCTGCATATTTGCAGTGTCCAGTGTTCCACGCCAAGGTCTTCCTAAAATTTTTTAGACTAGCCTCCTAGCCAAATAAAATAAACCACTACATTCCATAAATATTTAAGCCTTTCCAGTCATTTTTTTCTCACCATACATTGCACATATTGCTGTGATATTAATATTAAAGATAATGAAATGCAGAGAAATGCTCGGTTAGCCTAATTTAGATTCATGCATTTTTTGTTGCTGTGTGGCAATTTATCTTGTTTTCTCCATTGAATGTATCATAGAGACTGTATGTCCAGCAAAGATTCCAATCAATTCTCGAGATGAGAAAGGATTTGACATACTCCTCCATCTCAACTTGGCTAAAAAAGCTCAAAAGACACAAGGATCTTTTTATGGCAGCAAAGCCTACCAGGTGACATCCCGAGTTGACCTGAGTGAGAGCACTAGGTAAAATCACTTTTGGTATCAAGCCTCTCGGTTCTAGAAAGTATACTCTGTTCGAAGTGAAACAGTGTCTTCATCTTAATGTCCATAGGATGTTATTTCCAGGCGGACTTCCACCATCCTATGTTTTTGTGGCCACGCTGAAGTACAAAGGCTCCGTTGTTATGGAGGAGTGGGATCTATGGCGGATACAGACTAAGGATGAAAAGCCTCAAATGGCTGTTACTCTGAATGGTCTGGACAGAACAGTGATGTTCACCACCACCACAAGCAGCACACTAAGCGGAACTCAAACTGTGGTCTTCACTAAAGCACCTGCTAAGGTAAATACACAGCTTGACAGAAGAACAGTGAAACAATTCATGAACGCTCTGTCTTAATTAGTAATTTCTGTTAGTTCATTCTCCATTAGTTAAAATTTCCACAACATACACCTAAAAAAAATCCATGCTGAAAATATCAGCATGGTTTGGCACCCGCATACTGAATTTTGTGTTCAGGATGTTTTGGATCCTCAATTGATGTGTTGCTGTCTTAATGGTTCAGCTTCACCAAAAAGACCATGCCGCTTGAAGTTTTGGTCCACCAGCTATATCAGCACCAATCCAGCCTGGAAATTCATGTGTGTCTAAGCAGGGATACAACAATGTCAGACGAATTTCATACAGAACATCCTTTAACAGTGGACTCCAAGCCCATGGCAGCCAAGTATATTGGAGTATATACAAAGTATAGGCTTACCAGGCACCATATGGATTAAAATGTTGGTGGAATTTGGACAGAGAAATACTCAATGGAATTTTATACATCATAAACATGATCTATTCTGTTTAACATACATTCTCTCTGATACACTTTGTAGAAAGATCTCTTAGCAATTAAATAATGAGAAATCTTAAGTTGAGTGACAGAGCACAAGTAGGTTTTATTCAATGTAAAATGTAAAAAAAAAAAATTCAGTGCTACTGAATGAGTTTACTGAAACATTCTTATCTTCCTCATAAAGTCACATTTATGGTATATTAACTTAATGTAGTAATGTAAAAAATGTAAATGGTATAAAACTCCATCATCTGCATTCTGCTTTATGTATTTTACAGAAGCTATTTGATGAAAAATGGCATCAGCTGCGTCTTCTAGTGACAGAGGAAGACATCACTCTGTATGTTGATGATTTGGAAATTGAAACCTTGGCACTGGAGCCTCCTGATGGTATTTTTATCAATGGAAAAACACAGGTTGGGAAGTACGTCAGCAAAGAAACAACTGTACCTGTAAGTACACCAATGCCTTGTTTGATTCCATTCTATAGACCAGTTTTTTTCTTGTCACAAGCACCAATAAAATATACTTTTTTACGGAACATCTCACCTAAATCTCATTGAATAAATTTGTTGGTGCTATGGAGATGTGATGTTGAGATGTGTGTCCTTTCAGGCATACTGAAGAGTGATAACATTTTGATATTTATTTGGATTTTAATAGTTGAAATTAGCTTTCTCAACATCATTATATGGGAAGGCCAACATCAACCCTCTACACTTTGAGTACATCACTCGCAGATGCAACTACATTTCATGCTAGGCAACTAAATAATGATTATTGTCAGCCTATTGTTAGATTTTACTCACCAGTGATTGAGTTAGAGGCTAAGAATTAGTTTAGTACAGCTATATTTTCACTCGCCTACATGTGAACACTAAGCATTAGAGAGTTTCACACACCGTACTTTTACAGCTCAGTGAGTGCACCATTCCTAGTGATCTCAGTGGATGCACAATGTATTTGATGCACATCCCGCAAGTTCAGTGGCTCAGCCTGATGGTTTCGCCACGCTCTTATGGTGTGTGTTGGCGGGAGAAAAAAATTAAATAACTAGTCAAATTTATTTTTAAAAACAAATTTCTTCATTAAATAATTAAAATAATCGGTGACATAGAAATGTTTTAATATATCAAACATCTTCATTTGTTTACTTACCTTTTATATATGCGTTACAAAAAGGTTTTTTATATTTTATTATATATTTTTTTATAAATGTATAATTTTTTAAATGCAGTGGTACTTTTCCTAAATAACTTTCCAGTCTGAAGCTTCACTTCCCACATTTCTCACAAATCAAGTAAAATGTATGTCTTTGCAGACAGATACAGAACAATTCACATGTGATTTGCACCTTTCTAAGCTTAACTTTTGGGAAGCATTTGCACCTCCCTTTGTTTCGGCCTTCAGCTCTCCTTTCCTGTGTCCTTTGTGGCTCTACTCATCTACTGCATTTGAAATTGCATATTGTCTGAGTAGGTTCTACATTTAATGAAAAACTTCATGACTGTTAAAAAAGTATGCATGTGTATGGTATGAACATCAAGCAGCATTGCATTTGTGTAGTATGAATACAGTCTGAATACACTACATCGATGTTGGCATTGTCATTTGAGCTACAAAGTGTGTTACATTGTTTTCCTGCCATTTGCGATCCTTAAAGTGTCCATTGGATGTGAACTTCAAAATGTTGGCAGAAGTAGTAAGTCATCTGTTTTTTGTTTTTTTTTTGCCTATTGTTTTATGACACCCTTTGTGCATTCTACAGTAGGGTTAACTCAATTATTGTCTAAAAGTTACTATACAGCTGGATTCAAATTAACCCAAAATGGGTTGGAAATGAAAATAACACAGAGAATGACTACAGTAACAACACAGACAAAAGTAATAATCAAAACGTGAAAAAGTATCAAGCAAGAAAACGTCTCAAGTTACTTATGTAACCATGGTTCCCTGAGTAGGGAACGAGACACTGCGTCCTCTAGGGGTCGCTATGGGGAACGCCTCGTTGTGACCCATGTCTGAAGCATACATTGAAAAAACACCAACAACGCGTTGGCCGGCGACAGCCCATGACATCACTACCGGTGCGATTATAGTATAAATAGGCGCCAGGAGAACATGTCATTCACTTCTTCGTTTGAAGCCCCTAGAGGACGCAGTTCGAAGTTCCCTTGAAAGGGAACCCAGAAATTGACAAACATATAGGCAAACTAAAACTGTACTTGTGTATGAGGAAAAAAAATGCAGAAAACAATGGTAACTCAATAGTTGTACAGCTTAGACGGTTCAACAAAATCACTTTTGGAAAGTGTAATGTTGATTAACCATTAATTCCAATACGGGTCCTTTTGACCCCCTTTATGCATCTGTGTAGGTTTTTTGGTTCAGGCATTAGTGTTAATTTTGTTAATGAAAAGTATAATGAAAAATGTTTGTTGACCAGCTTTTTTCCCATGACTAAGATGAGACAATGGTGAGACGACAATAAGGTCAATAAACGATGACTGTGACTACATCAACATGCAATTTCGTTGGAAAAAAAAAAAGATGAGACTAAAATGTATTAAAAAAAATTTTAACTATACCAAAGTTTCTTTTAATTTTCATCAATAAAAAGGAGACAAAATATTATTGCGGACTGCTGTACACGCTTTACTACACAAGTTTCCATGTGTGCGGTTGCCAGATATCAAGAATTCATAGCGTAAAACCTGAAATGTAAAAACACATTTATCAAATGACAACAATCTTTTTGAGTATAATTTTGAGCAAAACTAATAATAATAATAATTATAATTATCAGTTTAACTATTATGCAGCATGACGAACATGTGATGAAAAGTTTTCATTTCATTGAAAAGTTTTGACATACCCTGACTTTGTGCTTTTTTCAGTTGCTTACAAACATTTTAATGTCTAAAGTTTAATAACACTGTAATCAGCACAACCTGGGCTACAATAATATGTGTGCAGCATGTATGTATGTGATTGTGTTTTTGAGAAAACAGATTCACACCTGAGAAGACAAAGGCCCGCATAATGAGCTGCATAATAAGCCTTTCAGTCAGGTGTGTGACAGAGTGAATTGCTACAAGAAAGAATGTGAGGAAAAAATAAATGTATATTTTTTTGTTTGTAGTTCATTTAGAATACATATAACTATCACATAAAATAACTCATGGGAGTGTGTGCGTCTTAGCTGTGGTTCAGGTCCTGTGCGGGCAGGAATCTCAGAGCCTGTCGAACAGGTCAACATCAGTCTCTGGTTTCCATGACCAAGTGGGCTGCTTTGCTTGGGCTCTCTTTGCAACAGGTTCTTTTACACATCTGAAATAAAAAGTAAGCATGCTGTTTACACAAACTACATTATTAACATTATTATGATGTTCACTGATACTAGTACTAATTTATCGAAACAAAGAATACAATTACCACACAGCAAATATATCAAATGAAAGTAACATCTGTAAAATAGTGAATGCACACTTACTCTATCAACCACAAATAATATTACCATATAGTTTAGGCATAATAAAAGTACAATTACTTTACTGTGCACTTAGTCAGTATGATTTTCCAGCGAACTCAAACTGAACGACACGTGTGCCTTTCTTGTGCAATTATGCCAGTGATGCAGCCACAGTCCTAAACGAAAATTAAAATAGTTGTTAGCAATTACCAGAAGATGCATAGCTGATAAATAAATTGCATCACTGATAAGAAAGGACGTGCGTATATGTCTGTCGATGGATCACTTATTTACAGCTTACTTGATACATTTATACCTCAGACGATCGCGAACGCCAATGACGGATTATAAAACATTAAAAACATGTACAACAGAGCAGATGCTACAAATAAATTATTATTGTTAAGCACGCTATAAAGATCTTCACGAGCAGAGCCTATAGTAAAGTCTAGTCTAAACATTATTACTCTAACATTATTAACATTATAACTAGGGCTGCACGATTAATCGCATGCGATATTTAACGCGCATCTTGTCAGAAAGCCGGTTCTGTAATCAGCGGTAAATCTCCATCACCTG